CGTAGCGTAACATTTTTGGTCCTTCGAGCCGGATTTGCTACCTACGATCCCACATAACAATGCGACAAATACGTATACTGAAAATATTAATTTCAACGATTATATAAGGCTTTATGAATTTTTTAAATTCCATAATTGAGAGATATTTTTGGAGTTATAAGAGAAATTCAGAAAATTATAGTTGATTAGGAGTGAAATAAAATAATTCAAAGTAATTCTAGTTGCACTATGGAAAATGAATGAAGTGTGCAATCACAGGGGTCGAAATATAAATAAAGTATTGATTGTTAAATTAATATTAGTGTCCCAAGGTTATCATTTACATTAAGTAGTTATCGATATTCAAATCACATGAAAACCACGCAGTACTCGAATACGTTAATTCACACTCGTGATAATTTATGTTAATCTGAACGATGTTACGCTCGTGAGTATTTAAATCAGCTTGCCAAACGAACAACTATTTATCGAATAATTCGTTTAGTAATTAACACGATGTAGTATGAATCCAATAAAAATCAAATACAAATATATTAGAGCCTTTTAATTGATAGAAAATTTATTCAGTCTTATATATTCAATAACATTTCTTCATCTAAACACACGTATTTATATAACGCATTAAACGTTCCAAAGTAATTTTTACAAAAACTATTTATCTCATATATAATTAACTTTCATACATTTATGAACATTTTAGACGATTTTAAACAAAAATCACGATTATAAGAAAAGATTTATATTGCAATTAATTATGAATTAAAATGAAAGAACTTTTTAAAATATTATTAATTACAAATTGGACGTCTTCTGTTACTAAGAAAATAAAAAATAAAATCAAAAGATTTTACAAACAAAAATAGATAAATAAAAAAGAAAATATGTTCATGAAAATATGCGACACTGCTTTTTGGCACTTAAAGGGTTAACGATTTTGATGCTCATCTGATAACGGAAGCACACGACAAATGATGTGATATACGTCGGGAGGAGTACACCGTGAAACAGAACAATCTGTTTATTGCACGGTCAGTAGATTATGCGTAGCGATGTCGCCATACGGATCCGTGCATCTACAATGCAACTACGACAACCTGTTGCAGTAACAAAGCTGAAGTAATTTTTTGCTAGAGGCTGTAGTAATTCTTTCCGTTTCCTATTTTACACTTCACAGGCATTCATGCCTATTACCGTAAACACATTATAGCCATCTTGCTATTTATTATACTTTTTTAATTCTGTTCATTATTCTACTACACGAAATACTGTTTTTATGACATGTACAAGGTGTCCTATTTTAATTTACAAATTCAATTATCTCCGGAACAATCCCTTCCTAAATTTAAACACGACCAAGCATTGCACAAAAATTTAAACTTTGCGTTACGTACATACGTTAAACAACCAGAATTACGTTTGCAGTTGAAACAGAATTAATGTTTGTAAATTCTAGTAATTGAATTAATAATATTGCTATACAACACTTCATTGATGTATACTAATATTTATTCAATTACGAGTATTATTAGCGAAACGTGGTTAAAAGGAGAATGATAACGTAAACCAAAAGTTATAATAAAAATTTCATGGAGCCACTTCATTGAATTGAATTCGTTTGAGATGAAGAAATGTTATCGTCCTCGAGTATTAGTTTTTCGTAAATCCGTTATGAAGTCACTAGACGTAAGGGATATTAACTTTTTCTCAAGCAAAAAGGTTGATGCAGAAGCCACTGAGTCCGCAAAAATTATTTTTATGGTACCCTCCTGTATTTTCTCGGTCGTACGGCACGATTATTTCGTCCTTTATTACAGGTCGTAAAGGGCAACTATTTTTCGTGATCAGCGGCAAAAACTGAACTCTCCAGAGCATAGGAATGCTAATATTAAGAAAAGTCGGCACACCAGAGCAAAAAATGGAACTTCGTTACTGTTATCTGTGTAAACCTCACGTGTGAATGGAAAAATAAACAGTAGATTCGCGTTAAAAACATTTCTCGCGTTTCGTTCCGAAGGAAAATGAACTTACCAGTTATCAGTAAGCCTAAATGACATTTAAATTAACTATAGATTGAATTTAACTCACTTAGAACACATATTTCAATTTTTTCCTTCTATTTCTGGTCCAAATACCGTTTATTTTGTATTATAAATGTTATTCAGCGAGTTAAGTGGCGTAATAAACAATAAACACATTAAGTACTATAGACGTTTGTAATATCGTTACCAATTGTTTATCAAAGAAATAATTATTTTTAAATTTATGTGAAGGTAGATGTATCATCCAGAATTATAAATAATATATTTCATAATTCTATTTCTTTGTTCAAAAATATACAGAAACAGGAATATCTTGAACAATAATATCAAAATATAAATATAATGTATTATATTGTGTATGTGGCTTTTATTTCCATTTCCAGTTTTTTAGTTTCCAGATTTTTGTAAGTACAACGTGCTTGAAATAATGCTCATCAACAGAAACGTCCGCAAGAGTATCTCAAGTTTCCCAGTTATTTACTGTAACGCGAGCAAAGAATCTCCTCGAAGCCACATCAATATCTGTGGTTTCCGCAGGGCTTCCAAACTGGGCTAATGTTCAACGACCTCGCAAAAAGGCATCGATAAGTGCTACGGGGAAAAACGATTTCGCTGGGAAAAGAGACTTCGAGCTGTGCTCGCATGCCCACTTCGGAAGACATCGTGGTCATTCTTACTGCATCTTCTTGCCCTTACAATCGGTAGAGCTTTGTTTCCTTCAGTACTTGGGTCACTTAGTAGTTGTCGATTCAATTTTTAGTCTAAAAGTGTTTAACCATCTCATAAATGGTACACTGAAAGCTCAATTCTATATATAATAACATAAAAGATGTAACTATCTTTATTTGATACAATTGTTATCACATTTTGATATGAATCATCGACATACTTGATTGTAATGAAAAGATATTTGTCGTGCTTTTAAAATAAGAATAAAGGTGGAATGTTTATTTATTCATACACTTTATGTTTGCGAGCATATATGTTAATTTTAATCAATTATGTTAATTGTATTATGTGTATCAATAAATTCAATGTGTTTCTAATAATAACACAGTACAGTTTTAATCGTTCGAAAGTATTTTAGGATCAAATTTTATGGAAAATAGAGTATTATTTATTGATATCTTTACAATCACCATATTTACTCATAACCAAATTAAAATAGGGAATTGATTGAAAATTATTTTAGTTATGATTTAAAAAGAATTTATTGATACATTTATTAAGTAAAGAAGAGTGATTACTTACAAGGACGGCATTGATAGGCGACCTCGATATACTTTGGGAGCCCAGGACACGGATCTCCCTGAAAGGTCTTCGGACTGGTATTAAACTTGCACTGTCTCTTCTTCTGACAAACCTCCACCACCGTCTGCAACAGTGAGTACTAATGCGTCATTCAGATGACCCGCTCACTTTATGACGAACTTTGATGATAATATAACTTAAAGAAGTAACAAAACATAAGTATGGAAATTTTAAACAATTCTCTTTACAATTAATAATCAATAATTAACACGAACAAATCAATTTTATGCACACCATATTCGTCGACAGATGGAAGAAAATTTGAAAAATAATTTTACATTGATATCAGACGAAAATGAAGTATCAGAAAATTGATCGATTTCATTTTCAATTTATTAAGAATTAATGTTATAATTTAATAAGTTCTTGAACAATGTTAGATGCAATATTTCCTATCCATTGGAGGATAACCAAAAAGGTTTTAAATTAATTTATATTCTCATATTATACAATAATTTAAATTATAAATCATAATATGATCAATAATAATGTTAATAATTATTTTCTTGAACTATCAGAAAATGTGTACAGCTATAAAGTTATAATATCTTTAATGGCACTGGTTTCGTAGCCTTTACAACGCATCTCATTCAGAACACAGTATGCCTGTACCAAAACACGTACATATTTATTCAGCACGTGATTATACATTTCATGCTGGTTCATTCACGGAATGCAAACACATCGCGAACAGGCGCGCGATTATGAAACGCATCAATTTCAACGATATTAATAGCAATATGTTTTAATGTGATAGCCATTAATTCGATGATTAATTTGATTTTCGAGTTCATCTGGTGCAGGTACGCGGGGAATATGTTGGGCATTGCTCGGCTCTCGCAGCGCGCGGATGCGCGTTACAAATGACTTAGCGGTTAACTGAAACCGGCGAAACGCAGAGATACTCACACGCATAACTGTAATTTCCTTCAGTTAATGCCATCCGATGCGACGAATTAATTTCCCGTTTGAAACCCATTAGAAAATGAACACGCGATGGCTGTTCACGAGCGGATTGCTTAGTGTCAATGAGACAACATCACGGAAATAATGTTTGATGGCTGTGATTTTGGTGTACTATATTATTACACTCAATTCAGTAACTTTTTTCTTGACGTTACATTAGGTAGTAAAGTAAATAAATTCGATAAAAAATCTAAACATGTTCTAATTCTGAGAATACAATTATAATTTATTGAAAATACACGTAACTGTGAAATATAATATATTATATTTATAATTAAAGGCACTTTTGGTTGAAATGAAAATTCGACGAAAAAGATATTTGTATAACTTGGAAACTGCAAATTTAAATTATAAAGTATTGTATTTAATCGAAATTCGTTCATAACAAACGCAAACATTAATATTCCTTTAAAAAATATCCACAATTTTATTTCAGCATATTGTTTCAACAAACACCAAAGAGATTAATAATTAATAAATCCGAAATGTTTGTTTAATTTTATTTCACGTAGCCACATTTCCGTACACATATAAACCTTTTGGTTTCTTTCCGCCAAATAAAAGTCAATCGAAACATTAAAATAACATTTCGAAACACGGATTTCCACAATGACAACCAGCTGATTGTCTCTGAAACCAGCATAATGCGAAAATTCGTTGTGCATTGTTCGTTTAAAGTTCGTTTATTAACACTAAATGTATCGAAAATTTGTATACCCTTCTTCATAAAGTAATCAATCAAATAATTGATTACAAAGTAAAAGTAAATAAGTTAGGCGATAAATATTTCTTAATGGAAACAGAAACAAAAGGAAAGGCAGAAATTAAAAAACTAATTAATCAAACAATATAGAAGTTGAGATAAAGTTAAATAACAGAAAGAAAATACAGAATTTTAAATCACATACTAAAACCGATAATTTGACCGGTCACAATACATTTATATAGTGTTAACCGCTTAGCTACTGTTGGCGCCTAAAATGTAAAATGTTATTGATAAAGCTCGCTTAGATCAAAAGTAACTGAATTCTAATTCGACAATTACATCTTCCGTTAGTCATATATTATATAACTGTAATTATTTTATATTGGTTCAATTTAATTCAATTCAGTGTTTTAATGGTTTCAATACACTTTCTTAGAAATGCGCGTTGACGCAAAATTCTGCTATAACCAAGGGGTTAATAAATGAAAAGGACCATTATCTCTCTAATCCCTGGTGACATTACCTTAAAACCACATATTTCAATATGACTAAAATGTGAACCTATGAACTAGTCCCGAAGGCACCAGTATAAAATCGATATAGAAATAACCACCTAAATTTTAACAGTTAGAATAGAATTTTTCACAAAAATATTTATCTCCATTAAAAATGATAAGTTAGTCAACGTATATTCTAAAAATAAATGTATTTTTCCTGAAAGTTTTTATTTCGCACGTAGAGAATTATAGAGTATCGGTGGCCGCGTGATCGAAAAGTTTTCTTTTCGCCGCTATTAATTCGCTTTTATTTGGGGCGTTATTCAACGATGTGATGGGGAAGGGGGAAACGGAAACAGAATGCAGTACCGGGCCAACAAAGGTGAAACACGGAGAAGAGTCGAGTTCCATGGAGAACAGGGGAGGGGAAACACAATGCAGTCTGAGAAAACGCTTTGAAGTCTGCTCGAAATTAATCTGGCAACGCGTTTCGGCTCGTCGTTGGTTATTGCAACGAATCCAACCGAGGGAAAGAAAAAGCGGGCTGCGACAATCGGGGTGAAAGGAAAGGGGGAAAAAAGGAAATGGGCGCAACGAGGCCGGGATTCATCTTTGCCGGTCGGGTTATATTAAGGTTGCCACTTAATTTTGCGTGAGCAACCTCTCGCCGCGCTCTCGAGGCTTCTCCGTTCCTTGGACACCACCTTCCACCTGTCCTTTTTATGAAAATCTCCGCGCACCGCCGGATTAACGACGACCCTCCCCCCGAAACTCGTAAACGAATCTCCGCGCCGCGACGACGGAATAAGCTCAAACGAGACGGGAGATATAACGAATAAAACGTCAGAAGGGATTTTCCTGGGTCCGAGAATTTCCCGCTTTTCCTATGACAGGTGAAATGGAATGAGAAATGGGTTGGATGTCATGGTGGGACAGTATTATACAATAATTCTTAGTGATAACGAGTACTGTATTTCCCGCTTTTCTCGTGAAAAGTGAAATGAAGTGAAGAATGGTTGAAAGTTTTCATGTTTATGCATTCGTTACTACGGTACGTTGGAATTATATAATAATTCGTAATCATATCGAAAATGATATCGTAGTTTCTTAAACTTTTTTCTTGCGATATCAAGTTAGTTATATTAAAAAGATTATAAATTTAATTTTTCGAATATGAATACTACTCGGTTTGTGTTAATTAAAGAGAAATATTGCTTTACGCTTGGAAATATTGAATTTCTATAGAAAATAGATGATCCGTTCTTCTTATTAGGAAATTATTAACAATAAAGTAATCCTTGTAAATCAAAGTCGTACGGAAAAAAGGTTAACACTTTTACAAATTTCTGATTTCATCGAAATTGAAAATCAATTTATGAATCGCAAATGTGACTGAAACGAGTACTAAAAGATCTTTTAGTATCATTTCTTCGATTCACCGTTAATGTGCATTATTTTGAAACACCCGACTTTTAATTTTCAGTCATCGATGCACAAATGAATTACATAAATGTAGAACGTTATTAAGTGTCAAATACTTGTGCTGTGTCGAATATTTTGCAGCAATATCAAGCAAAGCATTTATCTACGGTAAAATTGCCATTTTATTGAGAAAAAAATTTTCACGAAGATTTTATATGCACGCGTTTCATAACGTGTCTCTTCAAACAGAGCGAAAATTAAATTTCAAGTGTAATCAAGGTGGGCGGTCTTTTTTAAAAAAATGCATCGATTCTTTCCGGTATGAAGCGGTGCAGTTTAAACACACTTCTTTTTTGCCGAAGTGGAATTCTGGTTTGATGAAAAGTTTAATGGGTCTGGTATCGGCGGAGGAGTTCATTTGAAAATGAGCACGAGCAAACAGAGATTATTCAAGTTTTAATTAAGAAAATTTCATTTTGGGCGCGGATTACGTGAAAAAGGCCGGTCCAATAGAGAAGAAGTTTACCGTCCTGGTTTTTGCAATCTCGATATTCTCGAACTGGGAAAGTTATTCCCCTCTGAAATTCACGGTGCTCTAAAAGATATTGTCTCAAATTCCTGGAGTCCTGTTTCCATAGAAAACTTCGATGACCTTCGTTCCACAAATAAACGGTGACCGGATGAAAAATCGAGGAAAATTTTTATAAGAACAGCGTGGGAAATAAAACGTACTCCTTTTCCTAAAATTTAATGGACTCTGTGAACCGTAACAAAAAATGTGTATTGGTTCTCGAATATTTCAATCTTTACAAAATTTATACACAAAAATATTCGGACACGAATGATATTGCGAGTATTACGCTCCATATTTTAAATAAACATACAATAAACTAAAAACAAATGTTATGGTATGTTAGAGTACTGTCTGTAGTTAACAAAAGTATAAAAACTGTTTATTTTATACATAGAATTGCTTAAATTATTATAGAAGTACGAAGTTACAGTTAATTTTAAATATTTTGAATAGTCTTTTGAATAAAGTAATGAACTAAGTATTTCTTAAACAAACAAATTATCAGAACAATTTGCAAATTCAAGTATCACAATAAAACAGTGATTTAACCCCTATTTCTGAATTCAAGAGGAAAACAGCTTTCATGGAACATTCTCGGATTAATTAATTAATAATAATAATAATTCTTGGATTACTACAATTAATAGTTAACAATAATTAGTCTCATCAATAACATTGTAATATTATCTTAATAATCCAAGAACATTACATGAAAGCTTTTCTCTTGTGAACTCAAAAATAATAGTTAGACCACCATTATCCTGAGCGACTCGTATGAAGTAAACGGTTACTGAATTCAATCAAGGGCAAAAAAGGGAGAATAGAATTACAAACGTTCTACCGTCGAAAGGTTTCCAATACCGTTCTCACCGTAACGCAAAAAGCTTCTGTATCTTGCG